GCGGGCCACTCCCCAAGGGCTTTGGACACATATCGAAAGTATTTATTCAGCAGAGCTGTGTATTTCTGATGCTGCCCCACGTCGTCGAGACTAGGTTGACCGCCAAGGTTCGCGGCGGCCTTGGCAATTCGATCTTCGGCATCGTTGCCGCTAGCTAAACGGAATTCGTCACTGTCGGGGGGGGCAACTCCAGATTTTGGCGAGCCTGGACCGTCTGGAGTTTAGGGCCGTGTTCAAAATAGCCTCCGCCCGCGATCACTTTGCAACCTGACCATAGGTTGCGTCGAGGGTATTCAGTCTCGCCGTGCAACTGCAAGTCCCCCTTATGATCAGAGTAAATCTAGTCAACGTGAGGCGAGAGCCTGCCTGCCGCCACTGCGGCGAGGTGCTCGGCGGCCCCCGAGGTTTGGGCCCCCAGGGGCCCAACGCGGCCATAAAAGGTGCCCAACTCATTTCCATCCACCATGCACACTACGGCAAACCCATCAACATTGAAGTTATGGTGGCCGTGACACGTGCAACCACCATCTGTGTAGACATCACCTTTGAACGCTTCCTCGGGCCTTCAAGTCGGGTCTCGACGCCAAAGCTTCGCGCCCGCCAGGCCAGTGCCGGGGGGGGGGGGGGGGGGGGGGGGGGGGCAAATTGGGCGCAAATTGAAACTTGAGGTGGAGAGGGGGGGCGTCCGGCATCGGGTCTTTCAACCCACGGGGCCCCACACTATGAACTCTTTTTCTGGCCTGGGCAGTCTTGGGGCACTCGAGGAGGCTATGTCGGAGGTCTTATTTGTGGTGTCCACATGGGCAGCCTGCGGGCGCATCATATCCTGCTGAAAGTGCGCGCTCCATGGTCCAGATACTCTGGGTGGCGAAGGCCAGCAGCGCGCCGCGCTGCTGCATGGTCAGCTCGACTGAGCCGAGGATGGTGCGGAGGGCTTAAACATCAAGCTGCTCGCCAGGATCCCCCAGCATGGCGGCAGCCTGTGCTGCTAGGCAGCCTCGAGCTGCTTGGCAATGTAGGCCGGGGAAGTCCCGGGAGGGGATGCGCAGGGCCTGTAGGAGTCGCACAACGGAAGGGGCCCTGAAACGACCGCCCCACCCTGGCCAACGAGAGGGCCGCCGCGCTGATGGGGCCCCTACAGGGGCCCCAAGTTTTGGAAATTCTCGGCAAGACCGCCCCCCCCCCCCCAGAGGCTGATCTGTTGGAGGTTGGCCACGGCTGCGTCGGGGCGGGCGTTGGCCTCCCAGACAAGACGGTGCCGCAGAAGCGCGGGCCCGAGGCCCGCTTCCCACCGGGGTCCTGGAGGATGAGGAGCGAGAGAGTGCGGCTCCTCGAGGCATTCCTAGGACCTGCTGCAGCTAAAGATTGAGTCTGGGCCTGCGCGAGCACCGCGTTGTTGACGCCCGTGACCTCAGCTCCGAACGTGGTTGCCGCTGCAAGGCCAGCATTGCATGACTTCTCACCCTTCCCTCCAGCATGTTTAATCATTTTGATACGGGCCACGCGTTTCTTGATCTTGCTCATGCGCTCCACAAGCTTTCGCCTTTTTTCGCCGGCGCCTTTGGGGCCGTTCAGCCCCGCTTTCCATGCCGAGGTTGGGTCTCGAGATGAGCGCCCCGCGGGTCGTCTTCCGAAGCTTGTTTTGGATGTCTTTGGTTGGAGGCTAAAGCCTGGCTCTTTTGGGTAGCGATCTGGCACTTAAGCTCGTGCTTGATGCATATGGCTAGCGACCGAGCAGCTAAACTTACTTGCCAGATCACTACTTCATAGCTCCTAGCATGGCACTGCAGCAATAAGTCGTCGATAAACATCGCGAGGCGAATGTAGCTGCGCGTGGCTGCCCACTGGTCGAGGGGGGGCAAGAACGTACATTCGCGCGAGATACGTCGCTCACCCGCGCCCTGCAATCGAACCCCTCCACGCGTTGCCGACGTTAACACGCGCGTCCTGCATAGCAGCGAAACGAGTGCTTCCATATTGAGATAGAATGATGCGGAACAGGCAGCACGGACAACCAGGGGCGACAGCGCGCTGGGCAAGGCACTCACGATCTATATGCTCGTAATAGTTAGAGAGAGGCCCCATGACACTTGAGCGGGATGTCGGGGTTCCTCTTGGCACGCATGATTTTCACAGTCAAGTCACTGCGCATATACAAGTTATACTGGTGAATGTTCTGCTTGACGTGCAATAGATAGTCGTCTGTGGTGTAATGCCCACTCTCGGGCTGCTGATCTCCGCAGTCGGGCCCAGACGCGGTAAAGAGCAGGGAGCATGCCAATCGACCGAAAGGCGGGCTGGGCATTAATGTCACCATGTTGTTTCAATTTGAGCACGAGCGTAGATATAGCACCCTGCAGCTGTGATGGCGTGTGCCCAATCTGACCGATAAGCTCAATCATCTTACAGACTAGCTCGGCTCGCTCGTCATCGAGCACGGCGAAGCGGCGCGGGTGCGCTCCGTCCCAAGTTGAGGCCGTATTGTGTGGAAAGCTTCTGG